CTGCATGGAGTGTAATACTTCTACTGGATATGTCTGCATTGCAAGCAAGAATACTTTCACTTGATTCTTAGTCAGGATAAAGTATATTAGGAAAAAAAGTTCTGACTTCTCTAATACACAAAATTGTTTTTCACACATTATTCCCTGGCAGTCTTGCTAAAACTACCTTTTCTGGGCGTGGTGACTAGGTAACAAAGAAAATTAATTACAGTAGCTGCCATTAAATGTCAAGATTCACAAACAGGTAATGTATTATAATTATAATACACTGTGATATGTCAGAGATACTAAAATACTCTCTATTCTTAAGGTAAGAAAAGCATGTAGTATTCTAGATGATTCAGTACTACCAGTAAATGCTGATTTTTAAGGTTGGCTTGTCTACATGGTTAAAATCAAACGCATTATTTTACCACACATTTTATAATGATCTATAGATAATGAATCTCAGTATTAAAACACTGATTTTCCACATGTATTATGCTGGATGTAACACAACAAAATAGAAATGTCACTTCTGATTTCATGCTTATTCAATACTCACTTAAAAAAGAAAGAAATTTAGTCTTTCACAGTTGGATACCACACTCAAAAATGAAATGTTATTTCTGGAACTTATTCATTAGATGATTCCCATTTGCATTAAAGTCTTTTTAATATTAATAAAAGTACTAAAAATAAACTGACATGGCTATTTATTAACATTCACAGAAAACAATAATTGCATTTTTGCACTCAACTATGCTAAAATTTGCTTGATTTCATGCCTTCTGCTGCTGTAAACTGATAGTCTGAACATAGTCATACCAGAAAACTTGTTAGAAATATTCCACTTTTTTCAGGACACATTCAGAAAAAGGTATCTGCTGAATTATTTCAAAATTCCACAACTGAGATGCAACTCATAAGGAAAGAAAAGAATTTCATCCTTATAAATTCAGGATTATTTCCCAGTTTCGTTCTTGCAAGACTTACGATGACAGCAATGACAACAATAGCTACAGTCCTTTCATTTGGACTTCCCCGATGTTGTCACAGATAAAAAAGGCATTAAACAGTTGCTCTTCATGCAGGCAGTATTTTGTATTGTAACAGCAGTAGGAGCTACTAGGGTTTCTGTTAGATTTTACAAACTCTGTAAGGATACTCACAGCAGGTAGTGCAAAGAAAGAAATGCCAAGGAGAGCAAATCCTGCAGAAAGCAACCTTCCAAGCCAAGTAAGGGGCGTTTTGTCTCCATAGCCAATGGTTGTCAAGGTGATCTAAAAACAAATGAATGAACATCATGGATTACTGAAGTCTGTCAAAGATTAGCTGGAGATAAAATACATTGCATGAAATATCATTTCCACTAAGTAATTATTCACCACAACATGTGAAATTGTTTCTAAAATAAAAAATCCATAAATATATTGATATGAATTCCTTTTTTTCTGTAACGACTCAACACTATCCATGACTGAATAACACTGAGATAAATAATAGCTATGAGACAAATACCCAAATATGCAATAAATGCAATAAATAAACGTTAAGAATACCAGAGCAGAAGGTTTGCGATCTCAAAATCTAGGCAAATGAATGGAAATGAATCAGGCAGAAAAATTGTCATTTTTGGTACATATAAAAGTGTTCTAAGTATTTTCAGCAAAAACATATAATAAACTGTAGGTATTTGCACAACTATACAAGTATAATTATGCAAAGATCATACTACAAAAATATAATATGGCTGAAAGGAAGCTGAAGTTCACAGTCAAGAGAAAGTCAATGGAAGTGCCAGAAGAAGCTGCATTTTCTATGAACGTATCGTAACATTTTGAAATTGATAATTTTCTGAAACACAAAAAGACCCTAACTGAAAGCTGGAAGGAACCTTAAGAAGTTCTTGGTTGCTTCCCCTTCCTTATGACAACTACGGCACTGCTGTCATGAAGACCCAAATACTCCACAGCACATAGGGCTTCTCAGGTTGTTGGACAATACTAGCTCAGATGTCTGGGTGCGTGGGTGGGTGAAAAAGAAACAGGAGGGCACTTGGACCCCTCCATCATTCCTTCTCAGGTGGAGAGTGTTAGCATACCACACATGGATTTTACAGAAACAGTGAAGCAACAACATGGATTATGGCAGAATTTGGAGGGTGCTCCAGAAAAGAAACTTGTTATGATCAACAGTTCATGGAATTGGCCACACATATGTGCTCCATAAGCATGTACTCCTAATGCTACTGGGATCATATTGCTGGTTGTGGTTATTGAGCATATCTCAAAGACACAACAAACCAAATGGCTTCAGGTTTGTTCTGACTTCCTGTCTGCATGTGGTTGGGGGTCTTCACCAACCAAGGGAATGTCCACCAAACAAGTCCTGTGCGGCCTGGCCTAAAAAGTGTGGCAGTCTCAAACTCTGCGACTGTTCCAGCAGGAGAAATTCACTTCTGTGAATTCACTTCACTTCCTTCTTGGGGAGTTCAGATCCTCATGCCTCATGCAAGCAGCATGAGCACAGACACCGAGCTGTGGGCTTCTGCAGTTCAGCTGGAAAGCCGAATGGCTCTGGGCCAGGTGCAGGCACACAATGTTAAAGATAGACAACAACAGATCAAATGCCAAGGATTCCAGGGCCTTTTATTCGTGGAGAGCTTGGTGAAAGATAATTATTTTACATAATGTACCAAATGTGGGCAAGTTCAGGCTCAGCAAATATTCTAGCAGAAGTGAATTCTTCAGAAAAATGCCTTCTTGAGACAATACTTTGCTTCCAGCTTCCTCAAAGTTCATTCCTAGGAAAGATGTCCAAAGCAATTCTATTTAAATAGGGTCAACACAGGACAAAAGAAGCAAAGTGTTTTGGAGGTAATTAGATTTCAACTATTTAGGGCTTTGTAGATAGTAAACAGTGCCTTTAATTGCTCACATTGTTGGGAACAAACTGCGGGTGGAATTTATCCACTAAAAGAGAATCGGTTGCATTAAAGCTGTAGCTGCAATTTCAAGCAGTTCATGAGTCTCAAGTTTCATGTGCTAGCCTGGAGACATCACAGCTCTTACCTGTAATAAAGGCCACCTTAGGTGGCTCCAAGGCACCTGAACCAACTAGCCTCCTTCTGCCACATCACCTGTCACACTCTCCTTGCTCTCTGCTCCCCTGCCCTATCTCTTTTTCCTGGCTTTTGCAGGACTCTTCAGAGAATCAGTGCAACCCAGTAAAGTGGTGAGAATTACCCAGGTTTTTATGCGGTTTGTTTCTGGTATTTTTGTGAATTGAACGTGCTCAGGGAGGGGTCTAACAAGCATGGGTGCCTGCACAAGGCAGAATGATGAAATGCATTGCTGAGACTGGGCAATAAATAAGGGAGATGGGAATGCATCCCCCTTTTTTTTTTGGCAGAAGTGAGCTCATGCAATCACACTCTTGGCATGGCAAAAAGGTTTGGTTTGGTTTTCTCTTGTTTTCAGAACAGGGTATTCTCAGCTCTTCTCATTATAGGGCAAGTGCAGAACAGTTTGAAGCTATTAAGACCCAGAGAGTAATGAAGCATTGGAATAAATGAATCCCTGAATAAAAGTTCCTCAAAACTCATTTCCAGGCCAATCATTGTGAAGCAGTTTGAAGCTCTGGAACAAACCCAATTCCTTGGCTTCCATCCAGCTCCCTATCTCTGCCAGACGCTGCAAAGTGCAAGATATCTCCTGCTTGGGTTGACAAGAAGGAAACAGAACTAAGTGTTGTCCATATATTAATGAAATTACCACCTACCAATCTTACAAAGAAATCATAGATAAATTTGAGTCTTTGGGACTTGACATCTGAAAGCAATTCAGAAACAAAAGCCATGCAGGCCATATCTTTGGATTTTCTCCAAAAAATAACAAGTCCATGTTAAAGTCTTTCTTTTTTCCCCATTCTTTTTAGGTCCGGAAGACTTATTAGTATCAGTCTATGATTAAGACTATTAGTGGGTGCCTTCTCACCTTGAGCTATTTTATCTGAGTAGACCAAGATAGTCTCATGTGGTCACACAGCTATCAGCACTGTGCGATATTATCTTACTCAACACTACACAGATTTGATTTTTCTTTTATACTTGGTGAAGAGAGGAATGGCCAAAGCTCAAAGATAGTTGGAGGGGAATATTGGGGACCTATAGCACAACTACAGTCTTGCAAGACCAACAGCACCTAGGCATCTGCATCAGAAACACCATGTAAGGCCAATATTAAATCTGGGCATGGATGTAGAAGTGGGATAAACAGGGAAGAAATAATTAGGGACAGGTTGTTTACCTGGAGGGAAACTGGGGTGGGAAAAGGAGGATCAAGAAACAGGAAAAGGGATAGTAAAGTGTACAAATCATCTCTTTCTGGGGGATAGCTGCTGGACAGTCATGTTTGTAATCGATACAGCCTAAATCAGGACAAAAAAACAAACCCGTTGTTCTGACCGCACAACACTCAAAACTGATTTCTAGTGCCATCTGAGATGCCCTTGGACATCTGAAAAGGGACCAGTGGCAGGAGAGACACAGCTTCCCAGTTGGTTGAAAGTCCAACTGATCTTACATGGTGATCTATGTCTGTGTTTAGGCAACTGAAGCACACTCTTATGTAGCTAAATGGATTAGAAAACTCCTGTCTTCCACATCAGATAGAAAATGCTCCATTTGGATTGTTTCTGTAAATAAGTTGTCTGGACAAATCAGCCATGAAAAGCAGTGTCCCCTAGCTAGACTCAAACATCACAAAGACAGAACTGTCCTTCTATTATAACTCCATGCAAGAACCAATAAATAAGCGAATAAGGAGATAATATAATAACGACTGAGATTATGCAACCTCCAATCAGATGAGAATCACGGGATACTCAATGTTTTTTCTTATGTAGCTGTATGTTCTGTTAAAAGTACTTAGCTTTTGAATCTTTAACTGACATTAACTAACTGAAAATATTAAGTTTGTTCCTACTATCATATTAGATGGAAAATGCATCATTAGTATTAACTCATTTGAGCTAGTAATTGTAGCAATTATTGTTGTATTATTCAGTGTAAGTTGTTTTTTTTTCATCTACAGATCAACATGGAATGCCACAGGCATTCTTTACCCAATTGTAACTACTGAATACTACTAGAAAATGGTGCAATATTAAGAAAAATCTTATCTAATATGTCAGATAGACAGGAAGGCAAACTACATTTTCAGGTAAAACTAATTAGCATGCAAACTAAATGTTCCTATAAGCACATTCAGTCCTAGCCAATCTAACAAGTCTCTGAAAATCAGACATAGCTTGCTTATAAAATGCTTATGTCTTTGAATGGACATAAGCATACATTCTCATTTGAAAATAGTTTGCTCGCCTTATTCTGTTAAATAATTCTAGCTTCCACAGCTACATAAATTCTGCACTTGAACTCTTCATATAACACACACGTTGAGCTGTGTTGAGCAGCACTGGGGAACTCCAGCCATTAGTGTATACCCAGTAGTAACATTAACAAGATGTTGAAACTGCAAGTTGCGCGGTACAATGTGGAATCGCAAATACAGCGCAATATTCTTAAGCAAATTAGTATACTAATTCTTATACTAATTAGTATACTAATACCCCGCCTTTAGTTTCAGCCTAAAACTAGAGGCTTCAAAAACAAGAGTCAGTGAAATGACCATAGCAAGATATGGCTCTCAAATAATCTGAATTAACTGATGAGTTACATACTGCATGTTGGGTCTGGTCTTATAAGAGCGGCATAAGTGTTTGCAAAAGCATGAAATTTAAGATGGCTATTTGTGACTGACTTCAATGCATTATTTTTTCCATAGAAATTTCACACAAATTAATCTGCATTTTGATAGATACTTTGTGATTTAAGTTAGAGCAACTTTTGCAAATAAACAAATCAATGAAACTAAGCATTGATTTCCCTTAGAATGCCATACAATCTGACCTTTTCAAAATCAGTATGTGGGTTACTCTGGCAGTGAAAACAACCATGACTAAGAAGCACGTTAAGAATTTCCCACATACTGTTTTACATATTATACAAAAATTACTATTATTAAAATGGCAAAGATAGCAGGTAAGGAAGAAAACTGATTTTCAGTGACTTTGTGCACTTAAGCACATTAAAAATATAAATGAATTCTTGTCACACACTGGGGAAAAGAAGAAGCAATATAAAAATGTACAATATACATTATTTTCAGGTTTTTGATTACAATTTGTTGTTTTTTCCTGTTGATGTCAAGAAAAGATTCCTATTTTCTCAGTTTGCACAACTTATCTGACCTATGAGTCACACATTTTCACTTCAAAGTATACAAAATACTTTAAGCACCATTTTATACAGTGATTAGTTCTTCGCAGGGTTTTTCCTTAAAAACCAGCAGTCAGCAGGGAGTGGAGAAGAAAATTATCAAACAAAGATCTTGTTTCTACAGCTAGATCCGCCAAGGGAGAGGGACTTGGCTTGATGTGAGCCTGAACTGAGGTCTGAATTTCCCAAGACTTGGCCATCTCTCACTCGGACGTGTTCCCTCACTGGCAGCGGGGCCCAAACCTGCACTTAGTCAAGCTCCCCATCTTTGAAGTGCTCTCTGGGGAGGATACGGCGTTTCCTGAGACATAAAGAGGCTGAAAATGCTTGTCCTCGGGCTGCCCGTGCTGGTGCTCCCATCATCCCAAGCCACCCACTGCCCAACAGCAGCCATGCAGACCCATCGAAGTCAAACCCAGACCTCTGCTTTTTTCAGGAAAGTGAAACTCCTCTTGGATGAGTCAAAATCAACTGCCCGTTAGGATAGAGAAACCACAAAACCAATTGCAGTGGTCTAACTGAGGGCAAAACCTGCTCTGACAGCTCAAGTCAATATGGATCTCACATGCAGAGACTGTGCATGTTGGACTGTGGGATAAGAGCGTGTATTTTATTGGAGATCTGCCTTGACGGTCTAAAGAAAAAAGCTTCAGGAAAGATATTTCTGTATTTTTCTAGATGTGTAAATAAGAGATACTTAGCCTATTTTTTCTAAGCTCCCACTGAAAGCTCAAAAACTACAGTCTCATGGGAAGTCAAGTCACAAATTATTAACCCTTAGGTGAACCAATTTCAAATAAACAAACAAGTTCTAATAGTAGCAAATGACCTTGACATTTGGCAAAAATATAAACAAAACAAGGATTAAGGATTCAATTGTGAAATGTTTTTTCTGTAGTCTCTCATTCCACGGTCTGAATGTGCAAATGCTGCTCAATCCAGATGAAGTTGTCAGCAGAGGTCTGGGCAAACTTCATTTTTACATCCTCTGAAAAGGAGGGGTGGCAAAAGCTGGTTCAGCTCTCACACTTTTCCCAGGAAAACCAATGAGTGCTCTAGGTCATGTCAACATTCATGATCTCATGGGCACCATTTCACTCCCCAGACTCTGCTGGAGCTCATGGCAGTTGTTCTGCTGCGCCAGATCGGGGAAGAAAAAGCAGTTTTACATGACCTGGTAGTTGCTCCGCAACAGATTTTGTAGGGGTAGATTTCCCAAGATGCCTGAGTGACCGCCACACAGTGCAGCATGGGACAAGGGGCTAGCTCAGTACAGGGCATTTTTATTTCCATGAAAACAAAAAACTTATATATTATGACAAAAAAAAGGAAAGAAAATTCAAAAACTCGCACCTCGTTCTTCATTGCTCATTTAAAGCCTAGTTTATTTCAACTGACCTGCAAAAGTCGTCAGAAAACACTGCTGAATGTGAATGGGAATATTCTTGTTTTTTTATGTCCAAGGTACAGGGAGAACCAACATCACTCAGAGAGTGTATTTTGATTGCACATTTTCTTCCATTGCAAAACTGATTTAAGAATTTTCCATCATTCTTTCTTTCCTGATGCTTGCTCCTCCTGTATTGCAGCTTACAGCTATCTCACTTGGATCAAGGCAGCTTATCACATTATAAACTGTATTATTACAATATTATTAAAGATGTTACAGTTTATGATATGGGTCAAATTATTGGTCCAAATAGAGGGTCAAAACCAACATGTTTTTTCTCATGGAGGTTCAGTGATCTGGTCTGCAGCAAAAACTGGTAAACAATAACTCTGCATGATGGATAAAACTGAAATATGGATGTGCAAATAAAGAGCTGGAGGAGGGAACTTCTCAGATCAGTCTTCTTTCAGATAAAACAATTTGCTGAAAAGCACCCTAAGTTAAACAGACAATGAGTGAAATGCAAAAGATTGTAGCATATTGGCTAACAAATGCATATTGTTTTTCTGTACTTACTGTGCCCCACCAGAGAGCATCTGCATATGTAGAGAACTGGTTATTTGCATCTTTTTCCACCAGATAAACCAGGAAAGATGAAAAGATGAGTACTAAAAATCCTATGTACCAGGCTGTGATTAATTCCTAGATAAAAGAAATCAGAGATCAATATCCATTTAAAAGACAAAACAGAATGCCATTTCAAGGTAGACACTTAAAAGACCTATATACTCTGAGCAGTTAAAAGTCTAATGCTTTCCAACTGATGCCAGTTTTCTCTAAAAGTAGACCAAATCCTGTAGCTTGACCCTCTAGCAACTCCATCAATGTACATATAATCACAGCAGCACATCAAGTCCAATATTTGCAGCATATTCTAGAAACTGTTAGCCATTTAGCATGGCCTGACATACCTGTGTTAATGCCTGCTAATGGATGTTACTTCAGGAAATTTGATGTATTCTACACAAAGCTACTTAATATTTGTTTCTTTGGATTCTTATTGAATCTTGTGAAGAAGTCAGCCAAACAAACCCAGCAGCTAGGATTACATACCTTGCTATGTGCATAAACTACTGAACCTAATAATTTCCAAGTGCCTCCTCTTCGGTCCATGCGCACCATACGAAGGATCTGTAGGAAACGAAGACTTCTCAGTGCTGATGTTGCAAAAATGTTACCCTGAGTTTTTGCAGAAACAACTGCTATTGAAGCGATGAGAACAATGATGTCTGAAAGAAATATATTACAGAAAACATTAATGTCCATGTATCAATCAGTAACACTTATATGTACTTGAGCTGAAGGAGGGGACAAAGAAGAGAGTCCTCCTGCAATGGGCAGGAATCCTAGGCACTGGGAATCCTGGTTGAGTTAGGAGTCAGGATTGGGAGCCTAGAAAGTGGGAACCAAGCGCAGTAATTTTAAAAAGATATGTATAAGAGGAGCAATATTGAAGGATGGTCTGCCTAGGAACTTTGAAGTCTTATGTATCAAACTCTGTAAACCAGTAGATGGACTAGAATGTTTAGCCTTCACATCTTTCCCCATAGTACCTTTCCTAGGAAAAAGGAAAACAGAAGAAAAAAAGAAAGATAAGAAAAAGCAAAGCTGCCTCAGTGACGAGAGTCCAGTAGAAGCATTAGGACTTGCAAATACACATACTTATCTCCTACAAGAACAAATACTATGTGATTTAGGCATATACTAATAAGTTTCTGGACACAACTCCTCTTAGGTACCATTTCCTGGAAAGGAAAAATATAGTGCTGGATACTGAGAAGTATTCTTCCTGCTGGCAACCTGGAAAGTTTTCTGCAGTCCAGCAACTGTTTGGATTTATTTCTTCAGGCCATAGCTTCAAACTGTGAGCTTGAGTGTTTTGCATGAATTAATCAGCTAACTGCCTTGTAAGCCAGAACAGTATTTAAGGAGAGACGAGTAGAAGAAGCAGAGTGACAGTCCATGAACACTGTGAGAAGACATAATAATCTTTTATGGAACATTTATAAGAAATATATGGTTTAATTCTTATGATTTTGTCTTTTTTTTTCTCTTTTTAATCTGCAAGTATATTCCAAGCCCACATTTGCTGGTGGAGAACTTCCTGAAAACAAGTTCATGCTGATTTAAGTTTTGCTACTTTTGTGATGGGTATGAATGCTCATTCTGCACCGAGAGAAGTTTCTAAAAATGAGGACTGCCCACACGGTATTCACTAATAGGCCCACACAAGTGAGCAGTGAGGGAGACCTGTTGTACCTACAAGCAGGACACAGTTTCCCTAGTATATTCCAATATAGTAGGAAATAGCCTTGTTTCATTCTGCTTTGCCATCGAAGTAAGTTGAGGTCCAAACATCCTTGCTTGCAAATATCATGGCTTCCTCTGGACTCACCTATGGATAGCTTTGCCCTCTAACTACGTTATTAAGGGTGCAAATAGTCGGTACTTCAAAGAATGTCATGTTAACTTGAGGAAATCTTTGTCACAAGATGCTAAAAGTCTACCTGGGTTAAAAACCAACCAGAAGAAAGAAAATCTAATTTAGGATTAATTCACACAAAGACTGCCTTTTTGGCTCAGCGAGTCTCCAGGTAAAAGATCATTGTTGCTTGATGGAATATTGCAGAGAAATATAGCTGTGTGCTAGTCTTCTCTAGCTCTTCATTATTGGCTACTGTCACTGTTGGACACAGCATATGAGGCTAGACTGTCCTTCCATCTGTTTTATGTTCTGACAGTTTAAGATGCCTTTGGCTACTATATAGCATGCTCATAGTCGTTAAGCGATAGTTGGCTACTACAAGCTAGGTTTGCTTCTAGATGTAGTGACTAGTGCCTTGCAGCTCTCACGGCCATGGATCCATGGAGGGGAACAGGAGAAATCCCCCTCCCACAGGGGAGGCAGGATGCTTGTGAGGGTCTGCGCAGGAAATTAGGAATAGCATAACCCCTCAGGAGAAGTTAAAGACGTCACAAATTCCAGTGGAGATCAGAAAAAGACACAGTGTGGGAAGCTTGGGTGTCCACGTGTGAACCAGGTGTCTGAACATCCTGTGCAGCACAAGGAGATCAAGTCCAGTAAAGTTACCCCCCAGGAGGGCTGGTTGCTGGTTCGGCCGGCTTGCTCTCTGGGCTGTGTAGAGGAAACAGCTTGATTCAGCTGCCTGAATTTGTACCGTGCTATTCGAGACAGCCCAAGGCATCTGAGACACGCGCTCAAGCTGGCTGATACGCTAACAGGCGTGGGGCCTGTGCCCTCAGGGGAGGAAGCTGAAGAGCAGGGCATATCATCTAACTGTGCACACCTCTATTTACTCAGCAGCGCTAAGCCCTAGGTCCTGACCGGCCGTAGAGGAAGTGCAGGCGCGTATCACACAGGTGAACACCTACAGGCCAGCTTCTAAATTTAGCATGTTTATCTGGATCTGAGCCTCACACAGAGCGCGCTAGATAGCTGCGAGCGGCATGGACTGTGCTGGGGAAGGATATGCCGGGCTGCCAACGTGGCTTATCCCATCCTGCCGCTCCTGCCGCCGGAGCAGCGAGGCAGCTGCTATTTTCAGCTGGTGGTGACGGGACAGTCAACAACATGGGCATGCTTGGGAAAACAGAGTGCACTCCTGCTGACTGGCCTTGGAACTTAGAAAAGAGCAAGACGGCCCAAACATTAGGAGTTTGGTCCCAAACTGAAAGTTCTTACAGATGCTTCTGGCCCTTTTGATGTTTTTGGTTCCCTTCAAACATTCCTTTTTCTTTATTTTTTTTTCTTTTTTTTTTCTTTAAAACAAAAGCCAGTGATTTGTCCCTTCCCTTATCCCTTCCTGTTCCAGGTGCTCTGACAGCTCAGGCCTGTCCCTCCCTCCCGGAGCCCTCCTTGGCTTCGTTTCCCTCCAGCGGAGGAAGACAGGCAGGCAATTATTTCAGTGTGGTTTAACTTGCCAGGAACAGGTGTAAGATAAATCAAAATAAAGCTCTCTTGGAAAGGAATCAAAAAATCGAAAGGAAAACCTGCAACAGTTTAAAGTTGCTTCTGAATAAGTTAAACTGTCTTAGTTTTCCTATGTAAGCATATAGGAAAATATCAATCTCTCTCCACCACACTTTTTTTTTTTTGATTTACCATACCTCAGATGCCTTTTCCTCTGTTTTAAGTGGGAAAGTAAAATTATCCTCCTGAATTTCCTTCTCTATTCCACCTGAATTTGGTTAAGATCTCCATGGTATTTCTCTATTTGAAAAAGGCTGTAACAAACATCTATCAATATGTCCCTTCTACTGGCAAAACCAGAAAGTGAGTTGTGGGTGAAATCCCAGGTTTATTGAAGTAAACAGTATTTGGATTAATTTAACTGGGACTAAGACTGTAGTCCACGCTTGCTATAAAGGACTGGGAAACTTTGAAAGTAATGGCAGTTTAGAATGACGCTGCCCTTAACCACCGTTACTTTCAAAGTTTCCCAGTCCTTTACAGCAAGCAACTTCTGTATAATAGAGTATTAGAGGGCACAATTTTCTGAAGCACATTTGCTTCTTTGATATTTTCCAGGTAATATCTTGTGTGTGATCTTCCAAAATGTTAAGCATCCCCTCAGCTATGAGGTGGATGCTATTCAGTCTTTAGAAATGTTTCTCGTTTTACTTTGCCTTACAGATAGCATCCTCCCTCATTAACTCCCATCAGAGACTGCAGGTCTTCTAGGCAGCCCTCTGTAATGTTTGCTTTGAACATTTCATTTCAAATTATATTTCAAACAATGAATTCTGCCATTTCAAATCTTTCATCTAGTGTAACTCAGGAAAACCTCTGAGATTATTTGAAAGTTTTGTTAATTGTACCTCTCCATAAGGTTTTTTAATTGACACTGTGCTAACACTGTGTATGTAGATACTGATGGGCCCAGTTAAAGAACCTGACAAGAACAGGTAGGAGGTCAAATACAGAAACGGTTCTCTGTTGCCTGTGTTTAATGATGATGTGTTGGAATGCCCTTTCCTTCTAAATAAAAATGACACACAAGTAAATGGTTAAAATGGTTGAATGAATTATGCAAAAGTCTTTCCTTTTTTTTTGTGATCTGAGCAGAATATGGGCAACGTTTAACATTTAGACTCATCATTTTATCACTGAAATAGTTAACGGTTGCCGTAACTTCACAAAAACTGCTTCTGGTTTATACTTGCTAAGGATATGCAAGAGACTGCAATGGCTTTTAGTCACAGCCCAGCGCAGAGATACACCAACCTGCAGCAGCACAGAGCACGGCTGCATCAAATGCTACAGAAATAAGCAAAAAATCTCAAGAACGTGACTTATCTAGCCCTCTGCTTTATTAACCCACAAAGGTAATTAACTGGCAACAGCAGAGCCAAATTTAGGCTACCTTAAGGCAATCTTTCCAAGGTTTAATTTTGGGCTAAAGTTATTTCTAAACCAGAGGAAAAATATCTCTTGCAGTGGTCATTTCTTATGAAGAATCTCAAGACAATTCATTATCCTAAAATTCAAAGTAAATCATGAGAAAAAGCACCATATGATTTGGTGATCTGACCATTGGATGCCAGGATGAATCAAGAGGACCGAGTCTACTTGGAGAGAAATTAGTTTTTCTAATATTTCTTTGTATGTCAGTCATTCCAGTAGCTTTATCATGTGTATCGCTATTCTCAGAATTCCATCCAATTTGTCTTCAAAACAACTTGCTGGCAGCGCCCTAAGGGTAACAGCTTAGAATTTTAATCAGAGACTAGAGCACAACGTTACCATAATACACATCCCAGAGCACTATATTTGAGCACAGCCGGGTATCAAAACTTCAAAATAGCAAAAATATATTCAATGGACTCGGTCCTAAGCTGAAATAAGTCGGAAGTTTAACACAGCTTAGGGTATAGCCTAAAGGCTGACACCTGACTTATGTCATACAACAGCTCCTCAAAATAAGATTGCTTTTTTTCAGACTCCAAAAAGAAAAGGTCTGGTTACACAAACATGTCTATAGGGGCAGTTGTTAAGATATTTGGCCTTGATGTATTTCAAAGTCCTGTACATTAGCTAAAAAAAGGAATAAAAAAAATTCAAAAAGTTTTAAAACTTCTGAGCACTCTAATAGAGGATTATTCAAAGAGGGGGATAATTGTATCATTATCCACTGAGCACTTGTTGAGAAAGGTCATAGAATGGAAAAGGTCATTTCATCCCAACTGGCTGCAAAAATGCTTTTAGCTT